GGATTATAATGTGTAGCCGTATATGCAACACAATTTTGTATAAAATTGTGTGAACGATACATATTATCTGGATAAAAACCGAAACCAAATTGAACTATTCGTATACCAGTTAAATTAAATTGATCACGTAAATCAAATGTTTCTGTTGTTAAACTCCCAAGATCTTCAACTATAAGAGGTAAATCTCATCCTAATGCACTGACAAGAGCATGAAAAAACTCAACACCTCTAATTAACAAAACAAACAAATATTGAAATAATGTTGTACGATATACATATATCGTACTTACGGTGCTTTTACTCATTCACCATCTATTGGTTTCATAGGAAGAAAATTTTCATCTACAGGTATTGACCAATATAATTCTAAACCACGAAAATGATCAATTCGTACAATATCAAGAATATGCAATGCTTTTTTTAAACGTTTTATCCACCAATTAAATACTTGAGGTTTTTTCGATTGATTGTTCCAATCATAAATAGGCATATTCCAGTTTTGACCTTCTGCACTACAATCATCTGGTGGAAAAGCTGAATAAAAAAAAAAAAAGAAAGATTTAAATAATTGAACTCATTAGATGATACTATTCTATCGATCATAATAGGTTATATTTTTTTTCTTGCTGTATGTTTGCTAAAGCGTATCTATTGAAAACTCATTGATCTCTGTTTCGTTGGAAGTTATCAATTTTCTTCCGTTTTAGTCAACTACCTTTAGATCGTTATGAGCAAATCAATTGCAATAAAATAGATGTGTGATACATTTACATCGACATTCTTCGAATCGATTTTAATTTTACTAATCGTGTAGACAATGGAGAAACAACATACTTCCTGTATTCCGTTAAGTACGTCATTGTCATTTTGGGTGTAGAGTATAGTCGATTTATTAACTTTCGTATCTTAAGATCATCTATACATCGAGAGAGAAAAAAAAATCTTTCAGAATATATTTTCCTATCCTTGTCAACCCGTGCGCTTCAATGCAGCACGCACACGTCACGCACAGCAGGTATGACAGTATCGTTATTCGAAATTATGATAGGCCTATATACCGATTGACTTACTTTTTGAATCAATTCTCTTTCAATAAATGAAAAGATTGATATCTTAATGATTTCATACCCTGGTGATTCCAGGAAATAATGTGCTTCGGACATACATACTAATTTTATTTGATAAATTTTCTCCTTAAAATCTTGGTTTTTTTTCTATTTATTTATCTGTAGTTTGTTTTTTGGGTTTAATTGAATATTTCTGAGAAAAATGCAGAATCACAGATATCTACGATGTCCTGCACTGTTCTCAGAAAAGATGGAATCAGTCTCAAAACGAACTTCAGATCAATAAATAGAAAAAAAAAACAAGAAAATTTATTCAATAAATTTAATGTATGTGGCAAAGTGTATTGTTTCTTGGAATCACTAAGTCACTCGGGTCATTATGTTCTTTTCGATTCGAGCACCTTTCTTTAATTACAAGAATCCTTATGAATGGAAGAATGTTTAAGTTCCATGAAAAACAAACTTTTTTTTCTTTTTTACAGATTGCACGTAGTCATTTTACATCTTTGTAACAAAATTTAATCTTATTATACATCATAATTCGTTCGTTCAATATGTAATGATTGAAAAGTTAATCATATAATTAAAACTTAAAGTATTTATTGCAAATTATTTAGTAAGTTTTTTTTAGAAATTGAAAGTTAATTTAACAGTTTCTGAAAATAAAAGAATATATATATATATATATATTATTTCAGTTTTTCACTTTATCTCGCTATATAATATTTATTTATTTTTTCTAGATTATATTCAATATGACGAACATCTATATGTCGCTAACGTTCGATATTTCAACTGATTTACAAGCTACTAATTCTAGAAATGATTGCAACGTCGATATGAATAGTGTGTTTTTAAAAAAAATGAAAATAGTTTTTCATACGATATTAAATTAAGTTTAAAAAAAAGATAAATCTCGTAGGTTAGATGAAGCATCTAGAAAAGATAGATGCTAGACACTCTTATCTGATTAGCCTAAATCATCGAATCAGAAGCGAGTAAGACGCTCAATAAATTAGAATTAGCTGGAAGTGTCTTGTACAAGTGGACGAACTGTCTTGTTTATACACTTCATAACTCTTGATTTATACAGATTGGTTCGATTTTAAACCACTATGTTGATAATCTACTCACTGATGTGAATGGATCACTTCATCATTTCTAAACACAATCCACCAATGTACTTGTTGAAACCATCTTAGAAATGGGCCCTTTAAAAAACTAATTACACAGAAAAATTAGGCAAAATTTATTATAATTTTATATAATATTTTCATTCTGGCTATTTTTCATTTTGTAATTATCTTGAAACTAATAATTAACGACATAATCGCCATATCCATTGACATCTGCACATATTCCAGTGATTTGGTGACGTTTCTATGCCTATCCTCCATTATGGAACCACGATTTAGTGTCATCTATTTATTTTTCTAAAAATGGCCAGCATAATATTTATTGGACATTAATATTCGTATGACGGTGATTCTAAATATATATAAATCTTAATATTTGATTCATATCCGAAAAAGAAAATTTTACACAGTGCATTTAGAAATAACCAGTGAAAGATAAGCACATTCGTTTCATCAGTCAGTGGCTCACGATGGAAGAAAAGCCATTAGATCATTCATATTTTTCTTTGCCTGCTCGCTCGAGCATGGAATACATATATATATATGCTGCATCTGAACAATCGACACAAACACACTTCGCGTTATTTGTTCAATAGATTTGATAGAAAATTGAAGATTTATTCGAAGTAAGGTGTAAGTAAAACTATATTAAACAATATGAAGCATGTTTATTCATTCTAATCATCTAATAGAAAGGAACAAAAATCAGGATGTAACTTCGAGAAGGGCTCATATATCCTTTTTAGTCATAGAATTTTTAGAGAGAAAATGACCATTGATCATTAAAGATTCATATTTTTAAATTCCAAAAAAAAGAAACAAACTTTATATTTTCTATTCTATGATTTGTTAGACTATAATAAATTTTTAAATTATTTATACTGTAGCAGGACTTGATGAGTATGATCAAATTTGTGGATAAATAAATACATCTCACAAATTAAGTAAGACTTCTAATGTATCCAAAAACACGCTTGTTCTGCTCTAGAAACTGACATATATATATATATGTGATCTTTTCGAATTAATCTGATCACAATGACTCATTCTAATTAGAAATAAGAAAAGAGAATCAAGACACTTTTGGGATATCACGACAATGAAATAGTTAACTGTATGAAGAATTTAAAATGATGGTTGATTCTTTGATATGAATAATTTCTCTTGGTAATAAAGTAAGCTCTCTGCTTAATGTAAAATATCTATTGTCATTATGAGTTTGATTGAAGACTATTAAATCAGTGGCAACTAGTTACCTTCATTTGTAGACTGAAATCTTCTGTTTTTCTGAAAAACGTTATGAGTTTTGATAGTTTACTAAAATAATTGAAACGTTCGATAAAATAGAAAAGAAATACGTACATATCATAAACACCTGACATGCTTATATGATTGATTGACGAAAGTGAAGTTTAATCGACTAGAATTTCTCTTATATTCCTCTTGATGAATTTCTCAGAGACTATTACAGACTTCTCTTAGTAGGATATGTCTCTAGTGGAGACGATATAATCTATGATTAATAGATTTTTTTAGTGGAATAAACATGGTATTTGTAATATCATTATCTGTTCAAGAGAAGCAACAACAATATCTTACAATGTCATACAACGACATGTACAATATTGCTTCTTATTTTCAGGTATGTTTGTTTGTACAAAGGAATAGAACAGTGTAAATGAAACAATTTTTATATTTATTTTCTTGATCACTTTGACTATTATTATAACTACTCTTAGAAAATTAAAGTATATTAGCACAATTACCTTTCATTTAGGTAAACTTCCAGTTTTCTCGGACACATTTTACTCTTCAATTGAGTGTATATAACCTGACAGTACATTGGTTCTTATATATTTTTCTTGATATATTGAGTTGAAACGAAAATTAGTCTCAAGTTTTCAATAAAATACACCTTAAGTCTTGTCCAATTGTACTTATAGGTGCTATTTTATAGAATAAATTAATTCTCATCAATTAGTAGATATGTAGAAACTAATTTTAAATAAAATGAAAGCTTATTTATCGTAGTGTTCATATCAACAATTGAGTGTTTGATGGAAAAAGCTCGAAATCCATGGAACGATTGAGGTCTACCATAGACGAATCGAAACTTTTCGAACGAATGAGGATTTTTTTATCTGTTTCTCTGAAGAAAAACGCAATTTTTCCAATCTTCAACTGGTTATTTCTATCTCCTCTAAACTTCTTCCTCGAATTTAGTCTGTATTCATTGTTTCACGAGCCTATTTCAACTTCCTTATATGGTAACCCGTAATTATAAGAATATTTATATTTAACAAATGTTATTCAAACTTTTCCTGCGTATATAACAGAAATCGATTCGAATTTGAATGAAGATTTTTGTTATTAATTTCGATTTGTGGCATATGATGAATTATTAAGTTAACGTTCTTACGAGAGTCTTGGTTCTAGACTGTAAAATTTAGTTATTGGCATCAAAGGCCTAGAACAGTACTCGTTTATCGATTTTTCCAGTCGAAAATGAAAAAAATGGTGAGAATTGAAAAAGAAAGACTGCTCACGTACTTGTTAACAATGAATAAATAGTGTATAAAACTTGAAACCCTACTGAGTTAGTAGATCTAGCACAACAGCTCAAAGTTTGTTTCTGAAAATTAATTTCTAACACGATTGATATAACGTAATGTCTCATCTCAGTTAATAGAAGTGATATGCAGATTTTATAGTGTTCGAGAAATAAATTTTGAAATGATTTCTGTCTACTGATTCGTCCAATGTATCTGTCTTTTAGGTTAAAAGCAAATATTGATCGTATGTTCACTTGGTTCAATCGATTCCGAAATTATACATAATTTCATATTAGTGATATGTATTTTTTCGGGTTTGTGGCTACCTATGATAAGATTAGATTCAGTTGAGAGTCTTGCCTCATCATTTTCTGGAAGTAATGGTTCATGGATAAATTACACGCAGTACGAGCGAGCTTATGCAAGTAAGTAATTCTAATGAATTTATTCAGAATAAAGAATACGTAGAAATACCAAATAAGACACTAATTCTTAAAAAGGTCATATTTTGTGTAAAATAAATCAAAAAAAATAAAGTCAGAAAGTGAAAACTATTAAATCTGCTTTTCAATCAATTGATTAATCTTATTATTAGTGTTGATAAATACTAATGTGAAATTATTATGCTATTCTTTATTTATAGAACGATGTTCATTATCATCAAGAATTCCTGTTGATAATATTAACAGTTATATGTTCATGCACAATTTGAACTTTTTTTTGTGCGGTGGTACTCTGTTATTAGTTGTAGTCGTGAATTCCTTCTATCCATATAACTCGCTCAATTATTTAAACAAATCTAATGGATTATTTCGTTGGAGTATTTATCTATTTATTGGATTTGCCATTTCTACTGTATGTAATCAACTAGTTAGTGCTTTTGCATGTAGATCAATTGATATTCTATATGATATTCGATTTACATTAATGATTATCGTTCAAACAATTGCATTCATGGTTTGTCTTCTCTTTGCTTTTCTTCTTGGCATCAAGTATGCATCGTTAAACTATGGATCTTAACTAACAAAATATATCTTTGACATTATGCATAATAATACATCTAGTAAAAACATTTGTGAAAGTCCATGGTACTTTTTGTTTGTTTAGCTTTTTTCTATGTATATTAGATATTGAATTGTGTTTATTTAATAAAAATACACAGAATTAACTATTCAAAGAAATTATTTCGTTCGATATGCATTGAATGTAACACGTTGACAAAGACTCGAATAAGTTCTATTACTTCGTCTAAGTTGTACATTTATATATGGGCGTGATCAACTGATAGGGGACCCCAACATTCATTTACTCATATAAGTTCATCTATCTATCAGGAAAACGTGATCTTTTTATCAGTTTTACCACTTGTATAATGCTACTGATCTGTGACTATTTGAGATATAGATATTAGTAAAAATGAGGGTTATCAAGGACATCCTTATGATTATATGCTAAACATAGTTTACATCATATCTGTTAACGTACACCATTCTCCACCAGAAATCTGAGAGAATATGAAAAAGCAATAGGTTTCATTATCAAGTAATTAATCAGAAAATACAAGTTATGATTTTGTTCATCTACGAATAGGGTGTTTTATTAAGTTCAAATTACATAGAGCACAAACAACTTGTACGATTTTCGTTGCCTTATCAAAATTATCAATAGCTCCTCGGTAGACAGTACTAAGGATTGCATACGTTTTCAAACGTTGATTAATATTTTCAATAGCTGCTCTTGCGCTGTTAATGTCATAATTGAAATCCTTATCTTCATCTGTTAGTTCGTGTCCACGAGATTTCTTTTTAGGAGTCACCACATATTCTTCACCAATGTATCCTTTGTCACCAATAATTTGTACGGCGTCGTTTACATGTTCTAATAGTCCCGATTCTCTTAGAATTGTAATATCATGTACACTCCCACGATAACATTCGGATACGTGTACGATTCGATGATTAAAATCGCAAGCGATTTGAACTTTCAATGCATAATTTGTTGAAATTTTCGCATGATAATATGCCTTACGTTTCTCTGAATCATAAGGTTCAGGAATTGCAATAAAAGTCGAATCGACTATTAGTTTATGGTGTTGTTGAGGTCCGTGTGGTGTTTTACTACTAGATAGATTAGTAGGTATTGAAATTAATTCAGGATATACACACGAGTGTAAAATATCCACAACTGTTGACAATAAATAATTCACTGCTGCTTGACTTAAATTCAATTCCGAAGAAATATATCGTTCAGAATGATAATGTTTCAAGTACCATAGTGTAACGACAAGCATATTCATAGGAGATAAATAAGAGGTAGCAGCACTATTTGTAAGCCGGCAGTCCTTATGGGAACAATAATTTACAAGTGGCTCTTCACACATAGAATACAATTCTTGTACTTGTTCGACGTCATAGCCAGTATGTTGAATGCAAGATGCATTGGTACGTCTCCATTCGGACCAAGGACGTTGTTCTAAAATATAGAAAAAAGTACAATCGTTATTAATTTGGCTACTTCATTAGCACAAACAGTCGACTAGGAAACGCACGTGTAAACTAGCATAGTGATGTTACTTACTATTATCTAAAGCCTGAAGTTGTTGCTGTTTCTCTTCCATTTCGTGTTGTTTTTCTTCTTCAAGTTCTGGTGTACAATAACTACAATTGTCACGATGACGATAATAATGCGTATACCGGCCGGACCTTCCTGAGGCAGTACATGTCCACGTTAACATTGAGTGACATTCACTACAATATTTACGACGATCACTTGGAGCATATCCGCATTGAGAACAATCCCATTTAACTTGTGAAGAAGACATAATTCAAGGATGATAAACGTTTGTTATCCAGTGAAAGTATGTTAAAGAAAATGATGAAACGAAGGAAAGCGAAAAGATCACAATTCGAACAGGAATGATCGAATGAGAACACGACGCTAAGATAGAATGGATAGAATATTATCATACATGGAATTTATATCGAGGACAATATATCAACAAATATGGTGTGAACCACGTTTAGCATATAATCATAAGGATGTCCTTGATAACCCTCATTTTTACTAATATCTATATCTCAAATAGTCACAGATCAGTAGCATTATACAAGTGGTAAAACTGATAAAAAGATCATGTTTTCCTGATAGATAGATGAACTTATATGAGTAAATGAATGTTGGGGTCCCCTATCAGTTGATCACGCCCATATATATTATATATTATATATTACAATATTATAGGTATTTCAACTAAGGTATAAGTGATAGTGTTTTCATAAGAATTAGAATTTATTCACTGATTCATAACTATCATGGACCATGATTAATCAATATTAATTCTACTATCATTAGAAATGTATATTTTTTATGAAGATATTGTGAACTATATCTGAACGTCTGTAAGAAAATGTCGTTGCTCTAGCCTCCGCTCTCGTCTGTCTGGAAATATTCATTTTTTGCTGATCTCCTCTCCCTGGACGTCAAGTTTGCAAAATTATTTTTGAACATGCCCATTTGCTCAAAAACTTTGCTTTTTTCTATGAAACAACTGATATCTATTCCTCATACATAGTTTATTCGTAGGGTATGAATATTTCAAATCACTATAAAGCGTTTGTTGTGAGATGCTCAGTAAAAAAAAATATACATTTGATTATCACATTTAATTATTAGTAGAAAAGGCAATAAGTACATGACAAAACGGCTCTATTATACAGTATAACATCACAAATAAGATATAACAGCATGAACAGAACGAATTGTAGAACCAGAGACACAGTGTTGAAAAAAGTCATGATAATATCACTGTTCGAATTTTTTTAATTCTTATTTCAAATAATGGTTAAACGACCACAGCCACATAACAACATAGCTCATCTCTTTACCTTGCTCATCCTCACATTCTGAAGATCTTTTGAATTTCACCTTTAGAAAGTTCATCATAAGAGCAGTACTGAAAAAACCTCAATTAAAATTTTCATTTATTACATTATTTATTTTTTTCAGAAAAACATGCGAGTTTCAAAAAAAAAGTCCTAATTTCTATGTCTATATAAAATATAGAAGAGAAATTTGTTTGCTGATTTCAAACATGAATTTAACATAGAACAAATATTTTATTTAATGACTAAAAAGCAGAAGATTTTTCTATAGTAAAAATGCAAGCCAAAAAGCCATAACAACACATGAGATCGTGACAAAAAGAGAAAGACGAGTACCAATAATCGACGCTAAAATTAAAAAAAAATATCAATAATAAAAATAAATAAAAAAAAATGAAAATAAACCTTTATAAAAAATTCCAACAAATCCTTTTTTTCCGAGGAAAAAACCATTCGTGTAATTTTGGTACACGACCCATATAACCACTTGTACAAATTGTCAATAAAACACAGATAATTATACCATCAAATGAATATGCTCAATAAATAAATCTATATCTGAAAGAAAAAACAGAAAAAGATGTTTTATTTGTTTATAAAATATTTTTGTAAAGTATCAATAATAAGACGAAATGATATAAATGATGAATAATCTTCTTTACGAATAAATAATTGAGAAATTTTCAAAAAGAAATTCTTCATTATTTTCAAGTTGATTTAAAACTTTGTTTTTCTCTTTATTCGAAAGATTTTCATTGAAATAATGATCAAATAAGAATGGATATATTAATAATAAATCAAAAATATAATTTCTTTCAATTGACATTAATAAAAATTTTTTTATCAATTACCAATTCAGACTAAACAAAAAATAAAATGATTTTCTTCAATAAGTAAAAATATTTATTTACTATTGATCGAAAAAATAAATCGACTAATCATGATATTGGATTTATTAACCATAATTTATATGTATAAAGATGTGAGATCTTTTGAATTATATAAATATTCTATTAATGAACTCGTTTCCTAAATTAAAAATGTAATTTATCGCTCTCGCAAAATTGAAGAAGATCATTGCAGCTATTGTAATATTAAATAAGTGAATATGCAAGCAAATGTTTAACATTTTCAAGCTCATCTTCTGTATTTCCAACTTTTTGGACAAGTGACATGATTCTTCAAGGGAGGACAACTCATTTTAAGACTGTCAGAGACTACTGAGAATGCATAAGATATCTTTATTTCTGCATTGCAATAGATTCCAACAAAATCCTTATACCGGACAACGAAAAGGATAAATGATAAAATTTTGATTTTGTTTTTGACAAAATGCGCCTTCGAATTCTCTAAAGGAAAAAATATATGAACGATAATGTTAATATCAATCTAAACTTAAAAAAATATTTATTTATTTATTTATTTATTAAAATTTATACTCACTATCGACGATATGGTTCATATTTAGCTAAATGTGAAGTAAATAATTTACTTACCAAAAATGATATGATAAGATCTTACATGGTTTGCATAAGAATGTTTAACCCAGAGATGTCCATCGCGCCGCGGCTTTTCATTTTTTTAGCCACCGCGACAGCGACGCGGCACGATTTTTTTGCAGAAATTTACTCTATAATTCTAAAAAATTTCCAGCTTCACAGTTGAAATTAAACCAGTCTCTCACATAAAGTAGATAAATTAAATTCTTTTTCTAAATGTTGCATTTTACGGTGATTTTAAAGTGC